GAGAGAGAGAGGATTTGTAATTAATATGCTAAAATTTATATTATATCTATAAATTACGTGTTATGCATGTAGGAAAGGGGTTCCCACATTGGTCAACTCACATAGATAATCAATTACTATTGTGATATGACTATCGTAGCAGCATTAATGTAGCATTGTTGCTAACATATGCATTATACTATTACTGTTACGCATGCTAACTTATCTGTATTATAATTTTATTAACGGCAGCATGTTATTCATTTAAGGCTATTAAGCTTGATATTATTATTATTTTACTTTATCGTCACGAGTATTTGGAGGGATCAAATGGCCCCAATCGATTTGTATACGTTCATTGGAGATATTGTATTGTATTTCAAGTTGGTTTAACCCAAATTATATAGGTAGATATGATTGAAAATTTTGTTAAATCATTGTGTAGTAGCTATCTTCCGAGACTACCTATAAAGCTTCATCTCTTCAAGACAATTAATGAGCCCTCATTCATGGGAGCGACTCATATTTTACAAGCTATTTGTAAGTCCTCATATCTTGAAGACTATTTTAAAGTATTCATTTGCTCATAATAACTCATATATTTCTAAGCAATTCGTGAGCCCTCGCATAGTTTAAAACTTATATTTTAAAGTTCGTCCAGCACATAAATGTATGACTCAGACTTAGGGGACTAATGTTACATGTATAAATGACATGGCATCCATGTATCAAAGGGGATCCCACATTGATTGACTCGACATTGATGATCAATTGGATTGGGGTAAAAAAGTTACATTCATCTACTTGTAAATAATCTAAACTAATACAAAATTTGAGTGGAAGAAAATGAAATTTGAATTTGAAGAGAGGTGGGGTTAAAAGGTTACTTCTCTCTTCTTGTCACTTATTTTAGTCAAAAACTAAATGGGAGAGGTGCAATAATAAACCTTGTTAAATGAAGCCTTCAAATGGGAATTTGACGAATTTCAAGTCCAAAATAATTCTAAAAAATGATTTTTATAAAAATATCTCCATGGTGAAAGGTGAACGAAAATGAATGATTTGTGCAACTCATAACATATTTCCATCAATGCCTATTAACAAGAAACTTATTCCTTTCAAATCACTTGAATAATTATGCCTTAATGTGAAAATAATGAGTTTTTAACTCCCGAAAACATTTTCATAAAATATTTTATAAAAATATCTGCATGATGATTTGAATCTAAATTGTCTATGCAAAATATCATGCAATTAACCATTGTGACAAGACGATTATTCATTAAATTATTGTACTCAAAATTATTTAAACTTAGTGTCTTAAGCCGTTGTTCGAGCCTCATTTTTCCAAAACTCATTTTTTCTAAAACTCATTTTTAATCATACATTCTCCAAAAAATTACTATTTCAAAATCTATTAGTCCAAAATAATGAGGTTCAATCAAGGTCTAAATCTCTGGGTTTTTAAATAACTTATATCTTCGACTTTCATTACCTTGAATATGTCAAGCTTCTAGAACTCGTTTTTTAAAATGGGTCACCCTAACCAACTTAATAATATAAAATTTGGGACTTTACATCCCTCACACCTGAAAAAAATTTCGTCGTCGAAATTACCCTAAACAAACATTGTTAGATACTTGACTTTGATTTCTGCATCTGTTTCCCAACTAACTTCCTCTATCCCGTGATGTCATCATTGAACCTTGATCGGTGGAATTTTCTTAGTCTTTAAATTTTCTACTTTTTCGTCCAAAATAGCAACCAAAACTTATTCATAAGATAGGTCTTTCTAAACATTCAATATTTGATATAATTCACCACATTATCTAGATCATGCACATACTTTCTTCTCATAGACACATATGCACGAAAAAAACTTCTAGCTATAGAGCTAACCGATACATTACGTTAACAATCTTGTCAAAAATTTCAAAAGGTCTTATATAACGTGGTCTTAGCTTGCCTTTCTTACTATATTTTAGTGCACCCTTAATAGGTGCCATTTCGAGAAGATATTTTTACGTACTTCAAAATTCAGATTTTTTTTTTAATTGTTTACATAACTCTTTTGTCGATCTTGAGTTAATTTTATGCAGTTTCTGATCATATTGATGCATAAACTATTTGATCTACGATTTTTGGACCCAAATTTTTTCTTCTCACTAGCTTCTTTCGAATGAATTGAGTATCTACATTTTCTGTTATAGAAAGTCTCATATGGTGCCATACAAATGATAGACTGAAAACCGTTGTTATATTCCTACTTTACCCAAGGCAAGTACGACTCCCAATTTTCTTCTAAATTCAATTCACAAGCACGTAATATATCTTCAAATATATATACACATCAAAAAGACAAAGAATAAATAATTAGCACCACCTACATTAATTCTTGATATGAAATGAGAAATCCTTTTTTGTTGAATTATCAAACTTATAATAATACTTTCTTGAAAATAATCTAAAATTGACACAAATTTTGAGAGGAAGTGAAGTGAAATTCAAATTTGAACGAAGGTGTAGTAGGAAAGTTACATTCCTCTTTTGCTAATCTCCATTTTTAGTGAAACTAAATGGAAAAGTTGTGTAATAATAAACCTTATTGAATTGAGCATTCAACTAAAATTTTGAAGAGTTTCAAGTCCAAACTAAGTCTCAAAAAAAAAAAAAAAATTATAAAAGCTTCTACATGATGACAAATGAAAGAAAATGAATGATTAAGCAATTTGCAACAACTCCACGGATGTTTATTAACAAACAAGAAACTTATTCCCTCTAATTAACTTGAATAGTTGTTGGAAAATGATGAGTTTTTCACTCCAAAAAAATATTTTTATAATAATATTTAGAATATTTGCATGGTGACTCGAACTTGAGTTGTCTATGTGAAATACTATACAAATTATCATTGTGACAACCGAGTTATTCACTAATTTTTATACTAAAATTTATTTAAATTTAATATTTTAAATCTATGGACTTTTAAATAACGTACGTCTTGGACTTTTCATTATTTTGAATAAGTCCAGCCTCTAGAACTCGTTTCTTAAATATGTTATTCCTACCAATTTAAGAATATAAAATTTGGGACTTTACAAGCCAAATTTTGAGGTCAATTGTGTTGCATGTTTTTGAAAGGGGTAGAAAATGGGTTTCAATTTTGACATCTATAGTCATTCTCAAGTGAAGCTAGCGTTAACAAATAAAAGTGAATGAAATTTGGCCCCTCTTTGGGCTCCATTATTCAAAAAAAATATTTTTTTTCTTTTTTATTTTCAACCATGAATTCTTAAATAAAATATTATTACACAGAAATTCAAAATTTTTTCTTAGCTTTTAACAATACATTATTCAAAAAATCACTATTTAAAAATACATTTCTCCCAAAATCACATTAAAATGGAGCCCAAACAAGAGGTTGGAATAAAACCCAACTTGCATCACTGAAAATGAAACATTTTCGATGAAATTAAGGTTGTAGTTCGTAGATGAATTTGCAGACCCAAAGGTGGGTTAGGTTGAGGTGGGTATGGGGAGGTGAAGTGGGAAGATGATAGCGCCACTATTATTATTATTATTATTATTATTATTATTATTATTATTATTATTATTATTATTATTATTTAAGTGAGTTCTATTTATATTTTCCAAAAATAAAATTAGGAATCCTTTTACAATTTTCTCCTCACTTATTGTTGATTTCTTTTATTTTTATTTATTTAAAGAGGAGGTTCAATTCATCAATTTATGCGGATTTAATGAAAAAATGGACTGAAGGACTTGGTTTGTAATTAAGTGAAATGGTTTAGATGTCTGATGCTAAAAAAATGTTGAGGGTTAATTAGCAACAGTTTGCAAAAGTTGGTGACAGAAAGTGCAAATCTCCTTAATCATTATTTTTAAATATTATGTTATATTCTAAAATACGATCAAAATTCAAAAACATGAAAACAAAATAATGTAAAATGATTCAAGATGAGTTGAAAGAATTAAGGACGAAGACCAAGTTGTTGTCCCTGTCCCAAATTTCCTAATGGGGCGAGGATTCCTCATCCCGTTAGGACAGGGCAACACGAGTTGAGTAAGGAAAGAGTATTTTGTCATCCATAATTACAATTATTATAAAAATGGACATATCATATATTATCATAATTTGGCTATTTAACCATCTCTTTAATTGAAAAGGAATTTAAGTGATTATAAAGTTGAGTAATTTCGATAAATATTGTACTTTTAGTGCCCTTGTTTTCATCTCTCACCATTGTCTTCACCAATTTATTTTTCGTTTTCAATTTTTTTTTTTTAATACTTCAAATCCCTCACTCCATGTAATTCCCTAGTCCCTCACGCATAGCCAACCTCGATCCTTCCCTTAAAAAAATATGTAAACCATTAGTTTAAGTTCGGTGCAAAATTCAAATCTAAACATTGGATTATGTTACTTGTATATAAAAATAGAACATAAGGAATGCCATAAAATGATATGAATGAAAAAAAAAATTTGATAAAAAGGTTGACTGTATTTTAAATTGACAAATGATAAAATGACATATAACATTATGTAACTCATTATATAAAACTTGATATATATGTAAAAGAATGAATAAAAAATGCCCCTTATAGGGTGGTCGAGTTGGTGGAGTAGGTAAGCGCGGAAATCTTTGGTCACGAGTTTAATTCTCCCTATCAACACTTTTTTGGTCGAACCTGTCGCACAAGACTTTACTTAGTGCGATTTATTTGGTTGGTGTGGTTTGCACGCTATTGCGTCAACCCAAAAATTTACCCGGTGCGCACTCGAAGGGTAACGACTATGAGATCTCCCGTCATAAATAAAAAATAAATAAAAATAAAAATGAACAAGGGTACTATGTTTTTTTTTATTATTATTATTATTTATTTTTTTTGACCCCTAATGTCACATTTCAAACGGCGGTAACTAAACAAAAACACCCTATGTACGGTGTACCTGGCGCTACACCACTTGTAGTATGCACCACAACTAGCCCTAAAATCAATGGTTCACGGGAACCTCGGTTTCATTATCAAGTGGATGTACACACGAATCTATAAAATCTGTATCCGTACATATGTACGTATGTGTAATTTTTTTTTTTCCTTCCCATTTTGCACCATTAATTTGAAGAAGAACCAGAATTTGATTACAGAGATAGGGCAGTGCCGAAAATGGGGTCGGAGAATGATTATCAGATGAATGTGGTGAAGGGGGAGTTCGGATACGTACTCGAAGATGTCCCTCATTTCGCCGATTACATCCCCGATCTCCCTGTATATTTTTCTCTCCATCAAATGTCATGCGTATATAATGTGTGTGTGTATACATATGCGTGTATTCGTGACATTCTGTATTTGCATTTCTGTTATTGGAATGCACGCGTTTGATTCCTTTGAAGTTTGGCGCACTTTATTTTTGAGAGTGAGTTCGGTGATTTTGGTAGTGCCACTCATTTCGTGCGATTCTGAAATTAATTTTTGGAATCTTGTGGAATAAAATGTGAGAATGCAAGGAGTGATTTGGGGTGAGGTCACTGCCTTGAATTTTTTTATTGTTTAAGGATGTACGAGAATTTATTTAATTTTTTTTTTTCGTTTATACACATTAATAAAACGGTAATTACACATGCCAAGTAAAGAAATAGATACGAGTTGGAATCGTTGTAGATTATAAGTTTGTCTTACTGAGTATACTTTCTAGTTAATCTACATCATTAAGTAGTTAAAAGAGTTTTTTGAAGAACATTGGTTCATGCGACATTCTAATTAGAATGTTGATGGGTGAGATGGGATATTGTTATTACTGTTGAGTTAGAGAAGGAAAATCTATCTTATTCATTCACTTGATCTCCTTTTTTTTTTTTTTTTTGATACGTTGAATGACAAACTAGACTTAATTGTTGTTGTACAGTTCATGACCGAATAGTTAAAACACTCGTAATGTTGTGGAGATGGTTTGATGCATTGTATATGTATATATATTGGTCAGATGCTTATCATTGCTTTTGAATGAAAATTTGAGTTCATTGAGAAAAATGAATGTTTCATCAGCACGTTTCAATCAGGTCCTCAACTGATGTTGACATAACCAAATGTTAGAGCTTAGAAGTGCCAGAATAACCATAAAATAAAGTTAACTAAAACAGCGATTCTTGTTATTTCACTACTGTCATTGGTCAAAGATCTTCTTGAGTAAATGCTGAAGTTGAAGGGATGAGGTATTCCATATCCTGAATAAGCTATAGTTGATCTCTGTTTTTTGTGGTTTGCAGACTAAATGATTTGATAGTTCTATTATTTGTTAAGAGTTTACTTGTTCATATTGGTGCTTGGTTTACTGGCAGACTTATCCTAATCCACTACGATCCAATCCTGCATATTCAGTTGTTAAGTAAGTTGAACCTATCTTGCTCTCATGCTATTATTGGAATTCTTTTCTTATTAGACTCCTCTTATTGCTTTTGAAATCTTAATGAATATAAATGAGTTGATGTATCTTATATTTTCAGGCAGTACTTCGTTGACATGGATGACACTGTCCCCCAAAAGGTGAATTCAACTCTTCAACTTGTTCTGTTCAACCAGGATTGCTAGTCATAAGATCTTTATTATCTTGTTCTTTCTTAGTTTTGAGGAGTCTTTATCTCTCCTGATGATACACTTTGACAGATGCGTGCATGTATGTACTGATTGGGAGCTTGAAAGGGTTATCAATGATAAGGTTGCATGTTTGGAATGACAATGCCGATGTAAAGATCATGGGAGTAAACAATGAGGATTGCTGTACATTACTTCTAAAACAAATAAAGATTAATTAAATAAATTTGATGGGCTTATGGCATGTTCACGTTGCATATTGGGTTGTATGGTCCTCTTGTGTAGAAGTGCATAATCAATTTTTCTCCTGTATCTAAGTTCTAATGATGTTTCTTAACTTTTAGAACGTGATATTCTTGATGCTGCATGCCCATGCTGCATATTATATAATTGATAATTCCCGCTTTCCATTCAGGCTTCGTGAAAATTTGAAAAAGCAATTTCATGGACCTTATAAGTGATTTTTAACTGTACTCTAGTATTACGTTATTCATTGATCTTTTTGCAGATTGTTGTTCACAAGGACACTCCAAGAGGGGTACATTTTCGACGAGCTGGACCTCGCCAAAAGGTACAACTTTCCGTTCTTTGAATTCTACACTTAAAGGGAATTCAACAATGTGCAATTTCGTTGAAAGGCATCAGTGTTGCGCAGGTATATTTTGCATCAGATGAGGTGCAAGCTTGTATTGTGACATGTGGTGGTTTATGTCCTGGGCTAAACACAGTAATCAGGGAAATTGTACATAGCCTTGATTGCATGTATGGTGTCAACAAAGTCCTTGGAATTGATGTAAGTTGTCTGATTGTTAACTAATTGATATCCTCAGAAAATTTTGATGTTAGCTTTTGTTACCAAAAATGAAGATTTGACATTTGGCTTCAGAAATCAAAGTTTCTGTCACCACTGATTTATTAGAGCGATATTTTTTTTTTTTCCGTTTTTTTTTTTTTTTTTTTTTTTGGGTGTTGGAATTTGTATTTTGCATATTATCTAGAGTTGAGAGTTGTGATCATTAATGTGGCGGCCCTTAAGCCAAGAGAATGGTTTTGGCTACTGCAAAATAAAAGAGATGATTATCAAGTGTAGATAAAAAATGGCACTGTATATCTTTACATTCAAAATGATTACCTCATATGGGTGATAAGTCGTGCATATGTTACTTCAATTGAAATCTCAAGTTATGTTATGGTTCTTTGATTTATTCACATAATATATGATGTAAGTTGTTCAAATACTATGAACACAATTGATAACAAACTAACAATTAAAACATTGTGTTGGCTCCATAGCTTAATATAACTTTTTTAGTCACAGAATTTTATGTGGTACAGAAAATAATCATGGTATCTGTTCTGTTATCACTCATTTACAAAGTCCAGAAATTCAACAATACATGCAAAGCAATCTTAATACTATAATTTGATTGTTCTTGTTAAGGTTTTTGTTCATTGACAATGTTTGCTGCATAATGAGGATGCAATTATACATATATATATGCACCCTTTTTTGATTTCTATGGAAGGTAGTGAGGGCTGGTCTTGTAAAACTCTAATTCAAGCATAATATATATGTATGATTCATACCCTGGATTCATGAGACTATTTATTTAGATCTAGTATGTGTCACTTTCTTGAAAATTAATGGTAAGGGAGGTATGGATGTGAGGCATTGTTGTTACATGTTTTCTTATTTACCGGCTGATGTGGTTTTTTGCCCCTCTGTTTTTTAAGCTTCTATTATTGTGTTGTGCGATTTTTAAATTCCAACTGGAATGGTAATATTTTGTTATCATATCATACTTTAATGCGGGCATCTCCTTTTAGGGAGGCTATAGGGGCTTTTATTCAAAAAATACCATTACTTTAACTCCAAAGTCTGTTAATGACATACATAAACGTGGTGGGACAATCCTGGGAACATCTCGAGGTGGCCATGATACCATGAAGATTGTTGACAGCATTCAGGATCGTGGAATTAATCAGGTCAAGTGTGGAATTTTACTCTTATATTGCCAAAATGCACTGTTTTGGATGTTATTTGTTCTTTTATAGTGCTACTCCATTGGCATGTAATAAGCTGTAGGTTGGCTCTGATACGATATTACCGTGTTCAGGTTTATATAATTGGTGGAGATGGAACTCAGAAAGGAGCTGCTGTAATCTATGAGGTATTCTTGTTAATGAAATAAACAATCTGATACTGACTTGAGGATGCATTGAAAATAAACAATTTTCATCAGCTTTTTTTTCATTGAAGGGCAGTTTTATGCTGGCCTTTCGGACCTTTCTTGGCCGACCATGTGCCAAACAGCTTAATTTTTTGACACATGGAATCAGTTTAATTTTTTGTAAAGAAACTGTTGGAGGTTTTCCAACTTTTTATCCCTGATTTTCTGTATTATATACGATTTTGAACCCCTTGTATTAGATTACATGATTCTCAATCAACTTTCTCAAGTCCTGCTTCTAGTAGAGCAATTTTTTGACCTGTTTGGTGCAATTATTTCATTAGTTGCGGTAGTTTCTAATATAGTTCTAGCTGTTTTTGGCTGCTTTGGGTAGTTAAAGATTCTTCCTGTTGCTATCGTATGGGGAACATAAGGGACTTTTTTCCAACAAAGATACATAGGCCTGACATGTTGATGTGCATAACTGCATATCCTCGACTTCTGAGGAGATGGTGAGCCGCCATAGTAATAATCTCTTTCATTGTACAGGAAATCAGAAAGCGTGGTCTAAAGGTTGTCGTTGCTGGTATCCCCAAGACAATTGACAATGACATTCCGGTACCAGTCATCCTTCACATATTTGATTGTCTTGTTCTTTGCACATGTTCCCTGCGCTAATTGTAATCATTCTTCTTGGTGGTTAATCTAGTAGTTGACTTGAAGGGAAAGAATAGTCATTAGCTCTTCACATTGATCGTTCCACAGATCTTAATTTAGTGTTACTAAGAATAATTTCTTTGATATGAAAACTGTATTTTACAGATGAGTACTGTCCAACAAAATTAGCATGTCAGTTATATATATATAATATAATTTCATCTTGTAGCATACCTCATGGTTGTTGCAGAACTCCATTCTAAAAACTGTCTTGTGATATTATTTTCCTTTTATTAGTATTTGGGAGTTCTTACTACCTTTAAATTTCTGCTGCTGTTCTCTACAAATGAAATTATTTTCCCTTCACTTTCTGAAGAGCTTCAATTTTGCATTGGCTTGTGTAATTAGGTCATTGACAAGTCATTTGGTTTTGATACTGCTGTAGAGGAGGCTCAACGTGCCATCAATGCTGCACATGTTGAAGCTGAGAGTGCAGATAATGGCATTGGTGTGGTGAAGCTAATGGGTCGCTACAGTGGTAAGATATATTTACTTGCACCGCAATACACTAGGCAGTAATATGCGGAACACTACTATATTAGACTTGCTTTTCAAGTGTTGTTTGGAGTGGTCATGGCATTTCTGCATCAATTCAAGCTATGTAGCATCTGAGAAACTTATCCCATCCTCCCTGTTTATAGAGCACAGGTTTTGCTAGCAATATTCACATTATAAAACCAAAGAAACTTGTGCAGACCTGGAAAAGAATGGATTGCCCCTCATTCTGGTTCTATAATTAGTGGTATGATTATCAATATGTTCATCCAACTTTCTTGGAATTATTGATGCAGGATTTATTGCAATGTATGCTACTCTGGCTAGCCGAGATGTTGACTGCTGTTTGATTCCGGAATCACCCTTCTATCTTGAAGGAGAAGGTGGACTTTTTGAATACATAGAGAGATGTCTCAAAGAAAATGGGCACATGGTGATTGTGATAGCTGAAGGAGCAGGACAGGAGCTACTTGCAGCAAAAAATGAAGAGGATGCTTCAGGGAACAGGCTACTTCAAGACGTTGGTTTGTGGATTTCTCAAAAAATCAAGGTACAGCATGATCTAGATAGAGCTTCATGGCTGTTTGTAACATGTTCTTTTGGGGAAGATTTAAGAAAACATGAAAAGGTACTGGTAAATGAAAGGGAAACATTTCAAAAACATGGGATTAAAAATGGTGTACGAAACAGGCCTTTCTGAGGTGTTTTGAAAAGAATAACATGCTCTTTCCTGTATGCCTAAAATGGATATAGGCATCAACATGTGTTTTGAGTCCTATGAGTCATCTTGCTTTTCACATTTTTCTGTTTTCTCATGTCTGAAACAACAAAGCCCGACATGCAGATTGAAGTTACAAAACTGTGAATTTATTGAAAGGAGCATCATGTTGACCGATTTCTTTGTTAATTCACTTTTCACTTTTTACAGGATCATTTTGCCAACGAACTTAAGATGCTCCTTACACTAAAATATATAGGTAAGTATCCTCGTACTCGCGTTCTTTTATCCATGAAGTAAAAATGGTGCTGACCAAATTGTTTGGCAGATCCGACTTATATGATTCGTGCTATTCCAAGTAATGCATCTGATAATGTATACTGCACTCTCCTTGCTCAAAGTGCTGTTCATGGAGCAATGGCAGGTTACACAGGCTTCACTACCGGACTTGTCAATGGCCGGCATACATTTATTCCCTTTAATGTAAGTTTTATTTGTAATATAAGTAGAATCTAGATCATGAGATTTCATTCCCTTTGGCGACTTAGGTCCCTTTTATAGAAAATCTATATTCGTATGATATTAATTTCTTCCCAGTCGGATACCACTGGGCTTTTCGTGCCCCTTTTTTTAAGTACTTTAGGTAAGTCGTGATGCCTGAAAGAACGAAATGGAAAATTTGTGACAAGAATTCCACGTAGCCATTGTTTAAGCACAGGATAACTATTTGGATCCACTTTCTAATTCTCAGTACTTTTTATATGCAGCGAATTACTGAAAGGCAAAACGAGGTTGTCACAACTGACAGGATGTGGGCAAGGCTTCTTTCATCGACCAATCAACCAAGCTTCATCGGCCCTAAAGAAGCGTCTGAGATCAGAAAACAGAAAACACCTGCAACCCAGTTACTGGATGACGGGGAGGATTGCACTGACTAGAGGGCAGGTAATACAGAAACCAGCACGACATGAAATAAAAGCGCTTAATCTCGGATATCTACCATAATGTCGGATTAACCCGGTTATGTAGGAACATCCTTCAAGGTTACCAGTCTGATTAGATGCCTCAGCTGCGTGCAATGACTTTAATTTCAAGTTTTTTGAATAAGAGATGTGCAACCTAAAATGTTTAATGTGTAAGTGTGTTTTTACATTGGCCAGTTAGCCTAACCCAATACACGATGATATCTAGTAACTTTTTTTTTTTTTTACATTTTATTCTTATTTTTTGTTTGCAGATTTGATAGGGTTGAGAGGGATTATTATTTGCATCTTCCTTTCAGTGACACTTTTTATCCATGCAATAAATAGATATGATGGGAAATTAATGGAGACATTATTTATCCCCTATTTGGTGTAGCTAAAAATTAGACTTTTAGTACATTTTTGATAAAAGTTTATGAAATATGTGAATGAAAATTTGTAGGTCCCATAAAATATATAGTTAAAATTAATTATCAACTTTGACTTAGATTTTATCCATATCAAACAAGGGCTCAATTTAGTTTTCAAAATTTTCAATTTTGATGCTTATTTTAGAAAATATGGTTAGGTTTGATTTAATTTATTTGATTTGATTTTCCTACTTAGAATATGATCCTTGAAATTTCATGTAAAGGGGCCTATTGCATTTTATCTTGAAGTCCGGGTTTACAAGATTTATGGGATCACAATAGAACGAGTGTGAAGTGTGAACGTGATGAGGAAAAATGACGCAGACATATGCACCCACTCATTGTAAATAGATTGCTAAAATAAACAATTTTAATAATCAATAAAAGAAAACATGGGTTTTTTATTTTTTTTAATCTAAATAAGCTTTCATTCAACAATATCACCCAAAACAGCAGGTGTGATAAAATTTGGAATACAATCAACTCAACTACAAACAACTGGTGATAACAATCACATTGGGGGACTCTGGAACCAAGTGTGGGGAGTTCGATTCCTGGTTGGAGCAGCCAAGTGATGTAATAACCAGAGGAAGGGTTGGAACAGCTTGGTGATGTAATAATCATGGAGGAGGGTCCCTTTGGGGAAGGAGTAAAAGCCATGTGGGAACCTGGGAATCAACAAGGGCACAACCTGCGATTTACCTCCACTAGTCACTGAGGGACCGGGGGCTAGAGGTCCAGGATTTAGTCCGGCTAAGTTGGGACACCTGGGTTATCAAAAAAAAAAAAGCAAATGAGGCAAGACTATGGATCTCACTAATTCCCTCTTGAGGATAAACTGACATGTACCAATATCTACTTATTTCATCAGTGATATTGCAAAATAATAATGCTATTCATAGTCGCTTATTACAGTAGTCACCCTACGTGGCATTGTACATGAAGATTTGTGATTTGATGTATTGATGTGGTAGTTTTTTCTTGCCTAATATATTAAATCATTAATCGTTACATGTATGTCACATAGGACGATTGCGACAGTGAATGACTGCAAATAGAATTATTCATTACAACATTAAAGCAGATGGCAACCAAACGGAGGACCGAATGTAATGAACCACTCTGTGAATCACATTCTGCAATACCAACCCAAAGTCCATTAGCCTCAGCAAAACATATACGCGGCCATGAACAACTTAATTTCTATCTCCCCATATAGCCCAGATGATGGCAGGAAAGATGGTGAACTCCAACCGATTAATGTGGTGAAATATGTTTATAATGGAGTCATCCACCCGCTCCAAATTTAACCATATCTGATCTGCAAATCCTGCCAACTTCCAGACTCTCACGTTGCCGAACAAGTGAAGAAATTTTGAGTGTTTGATTCGGACATGTCGGGGATACGGGAACCTTGCGTAAGGTTTGCACCGGTGGCCATAGAAATATTTGATTATGGGTGGCAAGCCTAAACCCCACAACTCCTTCCACCACCGCCGGAAACCCTACTCGTCCCATCATCACTTCGAAATCCACGCGGTAGAAGGTGATACGCACTCTTCACAGAATAATCCCCCTTCGCCTCGTAGTGATAAATTAATATTTCTGGTCGGTCGGTGAGGCTTAGGGGGATGGATTTTATCAGCTCCGTATGCACTTGCATATAATTGTCACTCATCAACGTGTCATCCCAACCTCTACATTCCCAAGGGGAGCCGAAACCGGCGGAAAGGAGTCCAGCCTAGCTAGGCAGCCAAGGGTCAGCCAAGACCTGAATGGAAGTGCCATTTCCCACTCTCCAGCGTAGTCCCTCTCCACTCTTCAGAGATGATGAACCAGGTTTGTCCCTGGCTGACATAAAATCACTGGATCTGAAATACTTCCATTTTAGAATCTATGCTCCCAAGCTCTTGTCGTCAGTCAACAGACGCCATGCATATCTTGATACCAGGGATTGGTTGAATAGTCGTAGGTCTCTGAATTCGAGGCCCTCCATTCCCTTTGGTTTGCACAGGTTGCTCCCTTTACCCACACCATCTTCTTCTGACCATCCAATGAACCCCACCACAACTTGAAAATGAGGGACCTGGTTCATGGCATAGTTTTTGTCCATGTGCAAGAAGAGGTCCGGTCAATTCGTACAGTCATTTTTGACAAATCTTTTAATTCTTCAATAGCGGCTGCATGGTCGAACTTCGGAGGGAGGCTCCTTAGAACTTTTTCGACAACTCTTTTGTCATTGATGTTATCTCCACATCCTTTTATTTGATTTAATATCTCTGAAACTCGAGAAGAGAAATCTTGGATGGTTTATCGTTCTCCATTTTTAGATTGTCAAAATCCTTTCATAAAGATTTAAGTTTCAAGGCGATGGTTATCTCATAGCCTTAAAATTCTTGATTTAAAATTTTTTATACATCTTTGGCTTTTTTAACACAAAAAATATGGGGAAAATTTGAGTTTCCAATTCCTTGTCGAATATATCGCAAACGCCATTGCATCTTTCTTTTTATATTGCTTTTGTAACTTCGGGTCTTCTTCATCATCTTTGGACGAATCTTCTACTACCTCTGCATTTTCAATGACATCCCATAAATCCAAAGAGAGAAAGCAAGTATGTTTGCATTTGCTTGCTCCAATATTCATAACGTTCACCTTCAAAGATTGGTACTGTACACTAATCTGTTTTTGTTGAAAGAAATAAAATCCGCTGCTTAAGATAATGGGCTGCAATTTAGAAAATCAGCACTTTAATTCACTTCTCGTGGTAGTGAATAAAGTTTAATTGTTGCTGAAATTACAAACAACTTCAGGTGCATACCTTCAATAGGCTTTGGTTGACTATTGGAATTAAATTTTTGCTCCTATGGTCGGTTTTTGAATCTGATTTTGTTTTGTGTTTTGGCTTTGGTTGGTTATGGTTTTTATTTTCTTTCGTATGCTCTCATACCATTGTAGAAAAGTGGTTATGAAAAATAGAAGATTCTATTTATGGAATTTGAGAGTTTTACAAATGAGTTGTTCCAGTATACTCATTTCTCTATTTTTTTCCGGAGATTTTTTACGCTTCTCTTATCTCATCAATGTTAGATACATGTCTTCCTTCTATAGAGAAAAAGAAGTAATCTAATCCGAAGAATTATCTACCATAACAAGAAGATAACATCTATAGTTTATACCTACTTGCAGCTGTCTTCATCTTTATTCACAGCATGTATATTCTCCAGAATGTTCAATGCCGCTGTCAGCTATAACTGATTTTCAAAGTTCTAGATTGCATCTTTGAATATTCAAATCAAGTATATAAATTGAACTGTAAATCTTATCCATTTGACCATTTTTTGAATCTTCAAAGTCGTTGAATTGGATTTGAATTCTTTAAAGATTACAAATTAATTTAGAACTTTTAACATTTTAAACATGTTCACAACACAAGAAGGCACTGCTAGCAGGACTTCTTTTATCAGCACCTCTATCTTCCGCCTGCTGAAAATAATCCATACTTCCAACCTCTTGTTGGGTGTAGACGGAAATAGATAACAGAAATATGAAATTTTTCTTATGAAATTTGAGGAATTACAAAGGAGTTGCTACAGCACACTCTTTCTCTATTTTTTTGAGAGGTTTTTCTCACTTCTTCTACATACATCACACTAGATGAAATCCTCTCTATTTATAGAAAACATTGAGTAAACTAGTCTTACTAATTCTATACAATTACAAATAGGTAAAAACTGTTTTTTCATCATCATTTACAGTTGGAATATATGCATTTGTAGCTGTGTTTGAACATTATAAGTGTCAAATGGCTGCTGCCTGATGTAATTTCCAAATTGCAGAACGTCAGAATATGAATTGATTGTCGTCTATGTTAATTTCCAGCTTGCATAAGTTCAGTATACAACTTGAATTGAAAATCTTATCCTTTGACCATTCAATGAATAAAGCCTTTGTTAGTTGAAGTGTTCAATTTGGATTTGAACTCTTTGAATCTTCTTTTGTTGTTGAAGTTTCCAATTTGGATTTGGACTAGATGAAGATTACAAATTACTCTTAGAACTTTTTAACACCTCTAACCTTGTTTCAGAGCTTATCTTTTGTTGCAGTAAAACTTTGGGTTTTATTCCGATCCACCACAGATGGAAGCCCAAATATATATTATGTGCAACACTATTATTCAGTCCTGCAATAAACTCCTATCAGGAGAACTCACATTAAGGCTAAAAGTAACCATGGACTTATCAAAATCGATGCATTGCCATAGGTTTCGAGGATAGTATATATAGTAAGGAAGTCAAACAGTGTAGCTCAGAAGAACAGAAGTGAGTCATCTGCGAAGAATAGCTGACTTATCCTCGATCCTGTGCCCATGAGAGAAACCTGAAATTCAGCCTGCTGAATAAGGGAGAATTATCCCTCAGCACATAATAGAAATAGGTATGGAGATAATGGACAACCATGTCTGAGACCTCTGCTGGGCGATAATTAACGCAGAATGAGAATGTGGCTGTAGATATATAATACATAATCTCATTCATCATATATAGTGCTTAAGAAGGACCATTCAACCTGTTCGTAAGTTTTGATGATGTCTAGTTTGAGTATCATAAACCCATTTACGTACATTTGTTCTTTTCCCCATTATTTTAGCATTGTACATAGAAAAAATTTGCTCTTCATTCATAGAAGTAAAATTTGGCATAATTTTAGCATTATACAGCAGAGCAAAAATTTTGCTCTTCTTCGTTTTATGTTAATGCTTTTTGGTGTCACTGAGGAAGGTTTTTCAAAAAATGTTGCTAGCATGACCACATGAGGAGTGTAAACACTCAGGTTGGGGGCGGTTTTTGATGTATTTTCAAATTAAATTGCTTGTTTGCTTGACAAAGAGAAATTTAAAACAAAATCATTGCTATGCCTGTGATGTGAATATG